GGGAAAATCCACACGGCTAACCACACACATTTCTAAAATCAGAGCTAAGTGACTTCTGTCTGAGCTCTAAACTCCCTTTTCTAAACCGACAGTGTCCCCTTTTAATAGGATTATGTTTTATTAGGCTGAACCTCTGCAGCACACACCAGAGCACTGAGTGCTGCAGAATTTCCTGCTAAGAGCTGTGCTTATAGATCAGGGGCTTGTCTGGTACGAGTGAGAGCTGATTGTAGGGACAAGGAGATCCTGGTGCCTGCTCCTGCAGGCACAGACACAGCTCAGCACAGCTCTGGTGCAAAGCCCAAATGTTGTCTTCCATTTCTCCTTGATCTCAGTTTTGGCCATGCCCCATAAAGTCCTCAGTCTCTTAAGATAGTTGTAATTTGCTGTTTGTGTTCAGTTACTCACTGGGGTTTAATCTCTTTAGTTCAGGGTTGTATTTCCCTCTCTCCTGCATATCTCACAGTGCCTCGTGGTGCCCAGAGCACTAAGAGCTTCCCCAGTCAAGTCTCAGATGCTTTGGACTTTATGGGCCTGGATAAATGTTTTATTCACAACCAGAGAAAGAAACATTAGAGCACATTTGAGTGTTTTCATGTTTGACTCTTGGGTTGCTCATAGAAACCAGATGACTCTACCTCCAAGATTGATTTTTATTATCTCCAGACACGATTTGCCTTGGAATCAATACAATAATGTAAAATGTCATTGCAAATAGAGGACATTGATCTGCAATGCATTTATTAACTCCCACTGCTAAAAGCCAAAATAAAAATGGCAAACATGCTATTCCAAAAAAAAAGAGGAAAAATGCTCGAGTAAAAGTTTATCTACAAGAAAAAACAGTTCTCAGATCTTGTGCATTAAATGGTTTATGCAGATAAGGAAGAAATGTAGGTGGTTCTTTGACGCTGTAACACTCGTTTAAGAGGGTTAGGTAATTAGATGGTTAATCAAACTGGAAACTGCTGATTCTCTTCCCAGGTCCATGTAAGGACTACCAGCAGCCTGGATGGAAGCAGAGCCCCAGGGAATGCCACTCTGCCCCTTTTCCCTGGCACTGGCTGCAGCCTGTGTGCTGGTCATTCCTCAGCAAAACCAGGACCTGCTGCTCCTTGTCTCCCTCAGACACCAGTCCCTGTTTCTGCTGCCCACAGCCAAAGCTGTGTGTACTGACAGCAGCCTTTGGCTGGCTAGGCAGAGGAGTAAAGGGAAGAGGGACATGTCCTGCAGGCCTCAGTGCAGATTGAAGGTAGAACTTGATGATCTTGGAGATCTTCTCCAGCCTTAATGATTCCATGATTCTATAGGATATTTTACCAAATTGCCATTAGCTTCCAGTAACCAAACCTAGCAGCATGAGAGTGCAAACCTGAGTGAAGTGAAGGCAAGGCTGGAAGAAGAAAGGCAGGAATGAGCCTTTGCAAAATGTTGAAAAATTTCTCTTAGAAAAAGAACAGTCTTAATTTGGGATGCTGGAGTTTTGATTTTTCAGGGGTTTTACGCTGGATAAATATGTCAAAACCTGAGTATTCCTTTCTCTTCCTTCTCCTTTGACCTCCTCCTCTGTGCTGGGATAGATGTCCAAATAAGCATTTAGGTATTAGCTGCACAGGGATCAGCAATGAGCCCTGGAAGTGCTGACATTATCTCTTCTTCTTTTAATCTGTCTCGGAATGCTCAATTGCACTGACTTGAGGCCAACAACAGGAGCTGCATCTCCCGAGCACGTTACACTTCTGCAGCAGTAGGATCTGTATTCCTTCAGCAGGCAGAGCTGGCAAAGCACAGCCAGTGTTTGCTGAGGACTTTGATATCCTTAGCTGGAAGGCACTGTGGTTATTAGCATCCCTGAGCCCCTTCCCTGCGGAGCTGAGCCAAATTGGAGCCAGCACCTGTGGAAATGGGATGCCAAGCAGCCACCCAACACGGGCAGGGCTGGAGAAACCTCCGTGGCCAGTTGAGATCCTGCTGATGGGCACAATGCCATCGCCTCTTGCTTCCTCTGCTGCTCTTGCATCACTCCAAGCTGTTCACAGGCTCTGCACTGACCTATTTTCTTAAGGGGGGAGAAGAGGCATTATCTGAGTGTCAGTGTCTGCTGCAGCCTCTGCCACAGTGTCCTGCTGGATGTGATGTGGCACAGCACAGCTCTGGGTGTCCACGAGCAGCAGCCACAGCCACATGGAGCTGTTTGCCCTGAAGGAGTGTTCCCTCCTCACAGACACCTGCCCAGCAGCACACCTGGGTGGGATATGTTCCTTCAGGCTGGAGAAGTGACCCTGGGGCTGTACCTGCAGCCTGGGAAAGCATCCCAAGGATGGGGCACCTGGAGGTGATGGGCTCTGTCAGCAGGGACAGGGGGATGGAATTAAAGCCTTCCCACGGGTGGCAAGTGCTGCTCAGCTCCTTTCCCACTAGGTAAGGAAGAAAACTTTGCTAAGATCTCCTGCAGTATGAAGCAAACACACTGAGCTCCCTGCAATGTGCTGCAGCAAAGCCGAGGGAGGGGGCAGAGGAAGAGGAGGATGTGACAGGACAGAAATGGGTAAGAGGAGCTCAGGTGACCTCTGTGCACCCCAGGGAGAGGTGATGGTTGGGGATCCAGGGACACCTCTGTGCTCTGGGGGATACCTCAGCTCAGGAGGGACAGGGAGGGGCTGGAGCAGGTCCAGAGCTGGTGAAGGGACTGGAGCACAAGTGCCATGAGGAGAGGCTGAGGGAGCTGGGGGTGTTCAGCCTGGAGAAGAGGAGGCTCAGGGGAGACCTCATCACCCTCTGCAACTCCCTGACAGGAGGTTGGAGTCAGGTGGGGGTTGGTCTCTGCTCCCAGGCAACAGCAGCAGGACAAGAGGGCACAGACTCAAGCTCTGCCAGGGGAGGGTTAGGTTGGAGATTAGGAAGAGATTTTTTAGGGAGAGAGTGCTCAGGCACTGGAATGGGAGAGCTGGGAGGGATTGCTGTGATTGCTGCGCTGCTTCCCGAGCCACCAGTGCCCTCTGCAGCCCTGGCTGGGCACGGGGAGAGCTCCTGCCCCTCGGGCTGTCAGCCCTGGCACAGCTGCCCTGGCACAGCTGCCCGGGCAGGGGAGTCAAAACCCTGGATGTGGCACTCGGGGACGTGGTCGGTGCAGGGCAAAGGTCGAATTCAGTGACCTTTTCCAGCCTAAACGATTCCCTAAACCTGAATTTCTGGAGTCACCAGAGGCTGTGCTGAGCTACTCTGCCTCCAGCAAACACCTCTTTATGCTCTTTATATTTACTGATAATATGAATTCTAGAATTCTATATTTCTATATAAATCTATTGTATTCCAGAATATAAATATGCTATAAATAATAGAAATGCAGAATATATTCTATAACAAAATTGTGTAGGTGCTAGAATAAAGAGCATGCACCAGAATTGTGTGCTATAATACATTCCACAATTCTACACAATTATATTTATATACTTCATATCCTAATATAGCCAGGAATGAGCTCGTGGTGCTGGGGGGAGTTCCAGGGAGTGATTCCATGCCCCCTGTGCCTGTTGGTCCTTCCTGGAGCATCCTCAGCTTGGGATGCTCCAGGTCTTCCCAAATTTCAGTGGGAGCAATCCCAAGGGACTGCAAACTCCTGGGGCAGCAGAAATAAGGCCATAAATCTAAGCAATAATTAAACAAGTCATGAGCACTTCATACCTGAGGTATTTTACATGTATCGCTTAGTTAATGGTATTAATTAGTGAAGTCTCATAACTCTTATGTGGTCGTTCCAAGAGTTACTCTGGTTAAAAGCCCCAAAATAGAGATGAATTGAATTTGTCCAGCATATACACCCAAGTCCCTGAGGACTTGATCTAAGCCTATACAGACATCAGTGAAATCTCTTTCAGCACCTCCTGGACCCTCTGACAAGGTCTCTGCACACCCAGGAAGCTTCACATCCCCTGGGTTTCAGAGAGCAGCTCTGCCCAGTCCATACCTTTGTTGCTGTGTCTCTATTATTCCAGCAGAGAATTAAGCAGTAGGGCAGTAGTCTCTGGGAGAAGTAGTTAAGATTTTGGTGTCATGTAGCAGAGATTGAATAATGTTTGTATTATTTTAGCATGACAGCTGTGCAGAATAGATTCCTGGAATAAGCAGAAATATCTATCTCTATATGATTTTCAGACTTTTGGTCTCATTGTTAAGCAATATTTTTTTCTCCTTTTCATTTCCTCTGAGGCCCTGTAGAAAAAAAATTACTGCATTTTTGTCAACAGAAATGAAAGAGAAATGTTAACTTTAGAGGCAGAGGGAATTCGAGGGCACAGACAAGGAGCTAAGTCTGCATAATGTGCCATGGCTCATCTTTCTGTGCCACCATTTTGCTCAGGCTGCACGACTGGAGTGAAAAATAGACAATTAAACCAGTGGGGAAGGATCCCTGGGAAGTAAGGGATCAGTCCTGGAGCCTGAGGTGGAGCTGGTACATGCTGCTGCCATTGCTTAACAGAGAGAATTTGTTGTGTCAGGGTTAGGACAATGACCTTTCTCACCTCCATCTCCACAAAATGCTTAGTTCTCATTGAACAGGTCAATGACAGAGGTCCTAAAATGTGAGTCTGGCCTACTAATCAGCTGCACATCAGCAGAGGAGTCACTACACCCAGAGCCATGTCCTGCCTCAAAGCTCTGTCTGACTTCACTGCGAAACAAATCTTTGGAGGAAGAGGATTCAAAGAAGAGAATCTCATCTCCAAGCTAGCTCAAAAATTTCAGCCAAGCCTTTCAGATCTGCTGCACTCTTTTCCAGCCTTTTCTTTTCTCCTTCCTCATCAGGATGGTGGCTGGAAGGGCATTCTGAAGGGTTTATTGTGGTGTTTCCATCCAACACCTAGAGAAAGGTATCAGAGGACAAAACCAAAGATGGGATAGTTCACTTGTTGACTGCTTAGGATCTCTCTCAGTTCCACAGGTCTCTCAGGAGTACAAGACTAAAGTTTCCCCCTCTTTGTTTTCCCTGCTGTTTGTAGATCCAACGCGGGTTATGGTGTCACCTTTCAGCATGGATGTCACGGTTGGAGAGAGCATTGTCTTGCCCTGTCAGGTCTCTCACGACCACTCGCTGGATATCATGTTCACGTGGTCATTTAATGGACACCTGATAGATTTTGAGAAAGATGGGGATCACTTCGAGAGAGTTGGAGGGGTAAGTATTAACTCTAGAGCAATCTCCTCACAGCAGGGAAAGCAGGTAACAGGAAAGGGTTTCCAGTGGAAGGAATGGACATGACTGGGTTAGTCCCGGAGGGATTGAACAGAAGTGTAGATGTGGCACTTGGGGACATGACTTAGTGGTGGCCTTGGCAGTACTGAGTTAATGATTGGACTTGATGATCTTAGAGGTCTTTTCCAACCTTAATGATCCCATGTTATCTTCTGTTTCACAGACTGAGGAGGTGAACATTGCCAGTTATGAGTTCATTGTAGTTGGTGTTCGGTCGTTATGATTTCCTTAACGACATGACTTAAATCTGCTCACTTGAACAGTTCATGTCGCAGTGAGATGGATGTCTAAAATACGTTTTCGGACTCCATAAACTGCCTCCTCCTTCAAGGAAGAAATCCATTACCATTTTTAATGGTAAAACTGTAATGTTAAACTGTGCGATCACAGAACTTTGTACTTACACAGAAAACAGCCTGAACTCAGGGGATCTCCTGGAATGTCTTCAGGCAGGGCCTGTTGCCTCGTTTGTCTGTCTCTGTCTTGTCCTCCTTGCCTGACCACATGCTTAGAGTAACTATTTTTCCCACACACAAAGCAGCCTGCAAGGTATTACGAGCATCACCCGCTGGAGTGACATTTCTCCCTTATCTCTGCAGGTTTCCTGGTAATGTCACATTGGTGTCTTTGGCTTGTTTGTTTTTTTTTTTTTTGCTCACCCAGTCAGTGCCCAGGGACAGTGTAAACTTTTGCAATGTCCAGAGAATTGTTTATTTGAAGGTTGAAGAGATCATGTTCATGGAAATCTGATAGCTAGGAGAAGAGTCAGGTGGGAAGTGATGGTTGGACAGCCCTGGACAGTGCAGCCACTCAGGACCATGGTCAAGTGGCAGATAGGGGGAAGAAAAGGGAGTGAAGGTAGGAATTTCTGAACTCCATTAGGAGAGGAGAGGATTTGCTTGGGTCATTTTTCATTTCCTGCCTCTCCAGGAAGGTTCAGGCCCAGAGCACCCACAGCAGGGTCAGGGTGGCCCATCCCTGCTCAGCTTTCTCTTCCCTTGCATCCCTTGTAAAGGGCAGATTGTTAGGTTAAATTAAAACTCCCTCTCTAGTAGTTCTAGACTTCCTGGAGATGTTCCAGCATGAATTTTGGGAATCAGAGTGGGCTAGTGCTAAGGGAGACACTCAAGGGCATCTGTTTGAGAGGGAGCTCACCAAGGGGGTGGCACATGTCAGACCTGCTCCCACCTCTCATTCCACTCTCCTGACTAAAACTAATTCCCAAATAATGTTTGCTAAGAGAATTAGCAATTTCACAGGCTGTGTCAGAAAGATGGGGAAAAATTTGCTTTGCTTTGTAACCATAACATTTTCCTTCACAGTTTGGACTTCACCTAATTTAGTTTGGACAGGACTTGGGGAGTTTAATTTCTAACTTATTTGCAATTTAATAATGTATCTTCATCCGTCATGATGAATTTTTTCCATGCTTATTGAGTGAAGGTAGCAAGAAAAAGGAGGGAAGAAATGCAAATTTTCAGCAGAGGTAGAAAATGGGAAAGGTTTTGCTCCAAGGGAGGTTTGAGAGCCACAGACTCTACTGGGTCTCGGGCAGACTGGCAGTCCTTGTTTACACTTGTCAGGAGTGAAATTCAGTGCTGAAAGGAAAAGGAAATACAATTTCCAGGCCTTGCTGTTATCCCTATTAAAAAAAAATCATTAAGAGATGCAGTTGCAGATTGATGCCCAAGGGCAGAGAGCAGCAGCAAAGGCTTCTCGGGGCTCCTGCGCCCGCTCGGCCTGCAACGCTGGAATTACAAACTTTATTAATATTCCTCAGGCCAAAGGCCACAAGCACAAGGTTACCCTGAGACTGCCAGTGCTTTGTGTCTGGAGAAAAATGTAGAGAGCGTTTCCATCTTCTGATACATCCAGAAACCTAATTAGTTCTATTCAACAGTTAATCAGACATGCACTTGGCGTTTGGAAAACAAATTACTGCTGTTAGGTGATGCAAGATTTCCTCGGAGAGTGCTGTTCTCCTGATCTTCAGCACAGAGACACGGGGTGATCAGGCTGCTGGCGGCGAGACGAGGCTGGGGCACTGCTGCAGATGTCTGGGAGCTGGGCTGGGCTGCCCTGGCACAGAGATGGAGACACAGCTTGGGCAGCTGAGTGCCACAGGGGCTGGAAATTGGGGTGCAGAGAGAGGTGATGGAGCACCCAGAGCAAACCTGCCCTACATAAGTTCTGTCACGTTGTTTTAATGGGGAAGGTGCTGAAGAGCCTCCACCCTGCTCCCCTGCCCTTGGAGGGCCATGATTCCAGGCACTCTCCTGCTCCTGCCTTCAAGGCAAACTCACATGGCTTTAATAGGCCACGGTTTGCTTTACTAATGTTTTCATCAGCCACAGCGAAGTAAATCCATTAGTCACAGTGTCCTTCATGTGATAATGATGTTTAGCACTCATTAAAAAGTGATTGTAACCACTTTTCCCTCCTTTATCAGCAGGATTCAGCTGGTGATTTGATGATCAGAAGCATCCAGCTGAAGCACGCGGGGAAATACGTCTGCATGGTGCAAACGAGCGTGGACAAGTTATCAGCTGCTGCAGACCTGATTGTAAGAGGTATTTGAATTTTGTTACTGCTGTTGTTGTAAAATTTCTTCTTTTTTCCCCCTCTCTTCTGCTGCTGGTAAGAAAATTCCTGGGCTTGGAGACCTCCCAGCATCGTGTCATTAATCTCAGAGAAAGGCCCTAAGTGCACGCTGAGGTTCACGAGAGGTTTTCAAAGTGCACATCAGGTGTTTCAGACACACATCCTTGTGCAGCAGGCACAGCCACATCACCACACTGGTGTCTGGTCGTGCCCTGAATGCCAAACCTGCTCCAGCTGAGCTCATGGGTGTCAGGAATTGTGCAGCAGAAGCAGCACCCAGCTCACCCATGGCATTTCTGCCAAGCAGTGTTATTCCTTTCCTGGCATAAACTTATTTAGTGACCTCACTGAATGGTCAAGGTCTGGTCATTACCATGCACAGGAGAAGTGTAAGTGTGACTTTAACAGAGCTGCAATTAGTTACCCTGAGTCTGGGCCCTTATGGGGAATATGACACATATTTTTCTCCTCAGTAACTTCGGAGAAAGCAGATTTGGTGCTGCTCTGTCCCTGCTGGTCTCACAGACCCCAGGAAAGTCAGAGTCATGGAATCATTTAGCTTGGGACAGCCCTCTAAGATGATTGAGTCCAACCCCTCCCCAGCACTGCCAAGGCCACCACTAACCATGTCCCCAAGTGCCACATCCACATGTTTTTCAAATCCCTCCAGGGATGGTGGCTCCACCCCTGCCCTGGGCAGCTGTGCCAGGGCTGGACCACCCTTTGCATGAAGAAGTTTTCCCTAATATCCAATCTGTACTTCCCCTGGCACAACCTGAGGCTGTTTGCTCTTGTCCTCTCACTTGTAAGTTTTAAGTTTTCCCTCCAATCTGTACTTCCCCTGGCACAACCTGAGGCTGTTTGCTCTTGTCCTCTCACTTGTAAGTTTTCAGGCAACTCAGTGAAAGGAGGCTTGAAAAAGTAGTGAGAAATTCCCTCTTTATCAAAGCTCTGCCAGAGGAAAATGTGCAAGATTGGCCCTGAACTTCCACTGAGAAGCATGTCCTTGTCTCTGGCTTGGTGTTTCTCTTGTCCTCATAGTATTTTTGGGCTTCTCACCACGGCTCTTGTCCTCTCACTTGTAAGTTTTCAGGCAACTCAGTGAAAGGAGGCTTGAAAAAGTAGTGAGAAATTCCCTCTTTATCAAAGCTCTGCCAGAGGAAAATGTGCAAGATTGGCCCTGAACTTCCACTGAGAAGCATGTCCTTGTCTCTGGCTTGGTGTTTCTCTTGTCCTCATAGTATTTTTGGGCTTCTCACCACGTTTCCCCCTAGGAGTATGAACACAGCCTGTGCCACACCAGGAGCTGAGCCCCTGGAGGCAGTGACACTCTCCCTCTCCTCAGCAGGGTGTTCCACTAACTCTGTTTTTTTTTGCTGCAGCACAATTTCAGACGAGTTTGTTTGTTTGTTTTGCTGAAACATTTCAAAAGAAGCTGCTGGTTAGGTAATTTCCTTAGCACCAGTCTGTAAACAAACAGGAGGAACATTCACAAGAAAATGATCCTTGACAATGATAAAAACACTGATCTTGTCACTCCCTGAAAACATCAAAGGTGGTAAAACACTGGCACAGGGTGCCCAGAGCAGCTGTGGCTCACCCATCCCTGGGAGTGTTCCAGGCCAGGTTGGATGGGGCTGGAGCAGCCTGGGCTGGGGGAAGGTGTCCCTGCCCAGGGCAGAGGTGGACTAGGTGATCTTTAAGGTCCTTTTCAACCAACTCATGATTGATGAGGGAAATCTTCATCCAGGCCATGGTTGTGCTGTATAGAAACTGGGAACTACCCCTGGGCTGTGGGACAGGAGCAAGAAGTAAATGTCTGATGCATCAATAAAACCTTCAGAATAACTTTGAAGAGTTTTTCGAATATTGGAGTTGTGTCAAAATAATAAGAGATTTGATAGTGGAATAAAAATCAATTATTTATGTCAGGGAGCAGGAGATGAGTGTGCAGAGACAGCCCCTGGCACTGGTACAGGCAGATGAGCCCATTTGTTCAGGATGGGATTTGTTCACACAGCCCTGAAGTACCTGGTAAATTGGAACCTGAGCACTTTTCCTGCACCCTGCAAAGGAGTGTAATCTGAAATGTTGGAGTATCCATGGCTGTCCCAGGGGACAAAGTGAAGGCAGTTTGTTTCAGCCTGTGCAGCAGCTGAGCAGTTTGTGAGGAATAGAGAGAAATGCCATCCCTGGTGTGGCTCTGGAGGAGCTGAATGCTCCTGAGCCTGCCGTGCCTGGCTGCTCCCCCCAGCAAAAACAATTTCAAGTTTTAATTTCTCAGAAATTAAACCTGGCTGGACC